TTTATAATATAAAATGTTTAATCTTGATATTCTTTGGATGTTAATTTCCAATATTGCCACCTTTGTCTTACTCTCCAAAAAGCTCCTAAAATCTCATTTCGGACGAGCATATAATATAGGTGTCGACACTTCCGCTTTGATTAGGGGCCCAGGAGTCCTAAACTCATGGTATCGACACTACCATGGCAGTGTAGACACCCAACACGTGTTGGGCTTTTTTTTATCTTTTACAATTTCTTTAATGGTAAAATAATAAATCTGTCCTCAATCGAATTCTTAATGAGCACTTAAGTCCAAAACTTCTAATCTATTCATTTAGGTTCTTAATTGCAACCTTTATCCCTTCAATACAGTTCATCAACTTCCAAAAAAGTTTCACTTAAGTTCCAAAACTTCTATTGTTATGCATGTAAATTCTTTTTTTACACAAAAAATAAAAATTATGTAAAATTCATTAAAAAACTCTATATTCAACTCATCAAAATATAAATAAAATCAAGGCTGAAATAAAAAAAAATTAAAACATATAAAATTCACTTCTTCATAATTTCTAATTAAATATTTGACACAGGTTTGTGCTTGTTGGTGACTTTAATATTTAAGCCTTAAACAAAAACAAACACACCTAACTCAAAAATACTTCTCAAATAATTTAGGGCATGTTTAGTAAAAATATGTTGCTGTTCTTTATATTTGTCAAAATTCTAATTATTAAAATTGACAAATAAAAACTTAGATTAAAAACAAAAGTGGATAACTTGTTAGGTACAAATTCTTATAACTGATAATCAAAATTAAAATTTTAAATTATTAAATTATTAAATTTTAATTTAGTAATATATAATTTTGCAATGGAAACAAAAAATAAACAATGACAAAGTCACTAAACAGACTCTTCGCGTCCGACCCTTTTCTCTTTTAAGTTTTTTTTTGGGTAGGCCCCCAACAAATGACATCAAACGGAGAAAAAAGAAAAAGAAAAAGAAAAAGAAAGAAACATGACGCATTTGAACTTTGAAGAATGAATGTGAAAGTGAGATGGATGATTAAGGTCTTGAGTCAATAATAAGATGAAGCTTTCAAAACTGGAGACTTAAAGTTAAAATGTTAATATATGTAAATTTAGCCCAACTTTATCCTTTTCTTTTTTTTTTTTTAATACAAAACTTCATACTTGTTTTGAAATTATAATAATATATGATAATAATCACGTCATAAAATTAAGAATTATATTAGTATGTTTCATGTACCCTACCAGCTGTAATCAGACAAAAATCAAATAAAATTTTAAAATGTTTAGAAAGTCATTGTAATTA